TGCACAACTAAGGCTGCTGGTAGACATATTCTCAACAGTAAAATGTATAATATCCTAATGGTTTGTATTCATTTCATCAGTGCACATATTCATTGAATACTATGTGATAATTGCATCATAGGCTGTGGGTACATATAGAAATACCTGCTTCTTGGAACTCAGTCTGATTATAAAAACAGCCTTTACAATGAAGAGGACATACTAAATCTCAAAGGCTGAGAGAGTTCTCTGTTGTCTCCAACTGAGACTTGAGTTAGTTATTAAAGAATAAGTTCAATAAATAGATATTGAGGAGGAGGAGAAAGAAATGGAGAACATTGCAGGGAGCATAGTGGGAGCAGTATAGAGTGTTTTGCTGGAAGAATAATGAGGCACTCATCCAGATGGGGCAGAAGGTATATACAGAGGATGCATGAGCGGTGATTGTGTTGAGTACTATCACCAGTAAGCTGGGAAAAATGCTGTACATATTCCAAGCTTAATAATCTTGACCATCCTTGAATGACAAAGCATCAAGAAAAACAGGTGTAAAAACTCACTCCCAGATGCATTAACTAATTTGTTTAAGATTAGCTTATTCTTTTCCTGGATTCATTCTTCTATATCTAACTGACGCAAATGTACCTTCAGTACCATTTCCATTTTGGGTGATAGCTATTTGATGATCCTCTACATTTTCCATATAAAGTATACAGAAATAATGTCAAAAATATCCTTGCTTCTGAAATTTTAGGTTACAGAGAATGGAAATAAAAATTATACCATTACTTGACCCACATGCTCACCATAATAATGGAATTTTAACTTCTTTAACCAGAGTGATCAATAACTTAGAACTCTCATTCAAAAATACTTTCTTTTGGTGGCCAAAAAAATAGATCAATGGAGACCCTGGGTTCAATCCTGAGCAGACAAAAATAAATAAATAAATAAAAGTAAAAATGATTTCTTTTAAATTTTCTTCTTTTCTTGGTCTAATGTCCCTTCTGAAGAAGAAATGTCTGGCAGACTCTCAAAGCTCTCTCAATCCTCCATTCACATTGCCACGAATTTGCATTGACTAAATTTACAAAAGTGACATTTCAATATAATTCTCTAAGTGAAGAATGAGCTATTCTACATCTATTTAAATATTACATCATTGAGTGAACTTTCTCCCTCCTCAGCGTCATGCAGCAACCTGTTTTTGAAAAAAGAGCTCAGAGATGAGTCTGTCCAAGTGTGCACTTACTACTCAGCTTTTGGCAATTTGTTATAATTCAGGTTTTATTGAAGAGCCCAGCAAATATGCCATGTCAGTATTTAATGGATGTTATAGATCCATTTTATTGTGTTATCATCAGCCTATATTAATTTCACAAGAAATATGTAATTTTTTACACAATGTTCTCCTATAATTTTAGTGAGTTAGTAACCCACAAAATTATTTTCTTAAATTGAATTCATCATCAATATCAATACAAAACTACTGCTAAGCCAAACAGTATCTTTACTGAGGAAGAAAAATAACTCAGGGAAAATAAGCTACAAATAGTTTTGTCAGTATGTTGGTACCTCTCAATTTTGTAGCCACTCAGCAAAGGCAGTGAGGTGATAGAGTGGGAGTCTCTTTATAGCCACCCACATACACCCTCAGTCATTCACATGTGTGTAAGCAGGGCTGACCCCAGTTTGTTATGAACTCCTTCAACAGCAATATCTGGAACACTGTGTCCTTTTATAAATACTTCTTTGTAACACTTCCACACTATACTCCTTTCATAGGCTTTGTTTTGACCTGTTCAAACTTGTCCCTGTCAGGAGACTATTTCTTTACCTTATGGTATTGATTCATTTTTCTCACCCCAAACCCCAGGAGTATCTGGCAATGTCTATAGATAATTTTAGTTATCAGAATTTGAGGTGAGAGAAGGAGATACTTCAAACACCTAGTGAGTGGAGGCCAGTATAGCTAAGCATCCTACAGTGCAGAAGACAGCGAGCGGCAGCCACCAACACTCAAGAAAGGCTTGCTCAAGCCAAACAAAGTGTCAGTAGTGCAGAGGTTAAGAACTTCTGATTATAGGTCTTGAATCTAACATCTCAGTTTAAAAAAACACAACAAAACAATTTGGGCAGAACCTAGTTTTTGTTTTCTTTTTCCTCATTTTCTCTTTATCATAATCCACTTATTGCCCATTATCGCTGTTTACTGCCCAAAATGAAATGCACTTTCAAGGCAAAATTTAAAATTGGAGAAGAGGGCAGAACAGGTTCTACCTGGAAGAGAGGGGGGTGGGAAGGAGAGGGAAGGGGCTCGGGGGGGGGGCGGCCAGCGGGGAGAGAGATGGCCCAAATAATGTATTCACATATGAATAAGTAAACAAAAAAATTTGATAAGCTCATATAGAAAAGTAACCAATTCAATATGACTATGAATTCCTTAAAATCAAAAACAAAACATGAGCCTAAAGGTAGAAATTTAGATAATAATAATATGCAGAGTTTTTTTATATTTTGAGGTTATATGACTCCTTAGCACAGATACTGATATTAGAACATATTTTAAGTAATATATATAACCAACAAAACCATAATCACAGAAATGATCTTGTGACCCTTCTCAAACTCCATGTATCTAGTTTGTGCAAAAACATTCCCCAGCAGTCCTAATTAGCCATTCAGTCAGCTAACAGCTAATATATTTGGTTTCATTTTTTGTAGCAACCTCTCTAATTACTTAAAAGATACAATATTACTCTTGTTTAAGAAAGAGAGAAACAACTGGAGACAAAAGCAAAGAATTTGTATATCTTTGTATATTCTTGTTCTTAGCTCACTATCATGTACTTCCCATAACAGTATTTTCATAATTTCTACTACAGTTTTTTAATAAATAGTCTATCTCAATATCTTCTACCTGATTACTTTCCTAGCTACTCTCAATAGATCCTGAAAAGTGGAATCTAAAGTCTTGCTCATCCACTCCATTCATTTAAGAATTGGACAAGGACATCCATAAAGAAGGTCCTTTAGAAGTCCCCACAATGTTCAGTCATGGCAAAGAAGAGCTGGAATGAAAATTTTAAATGAGTTGACAATGAATACGTAGAAGTTAAGTCTCAATCAACAACAGGAATCTAAAAAGAATAGCTCTATTTCATTGATTTTCTTAAAATAGAAAATCAATCAGAAAGTGATTGACAGTTTTTGGGTGAAAAGTATATTGAAGTTACAACCACTAAGCAATTGCCCTTGCTTTTAGTACATTTTGACCCAATGGACATCACTACTTTTATTAAAGCAGCCCAAGATACAATAAGAAAAGACACCAAATTGTTTCTTGAGTGGTGCCTAAATTCTTTGGGGCACAAAGTCACGTATAAATTTACAGAACATTCTCTATCTTCATTTGCCAAGCCTGTTGTGAGCAGGTAGAGTGCTGTCTCCTCTTCTGGTAGTCTTATCCAGGTTCAGCCTACCACATGAAGCTCAGGCTTTGTAAGAGAATAGAGCTGATGAGCCAGAAAAACATGAGATGGTCTCCTTTCAAGGGTAAAAAAAAGTCTCAATTTGAGAGTAACATCCTTATTTCTAATTCATTAAGTGAGGCAAGAAAAATTGTATAGCTTGCTTTGTGTTGCTCTATTGAAGGCAAGGGCAAGTCTATTTGAAAGAAAACTGTAAATCTCAGCAAATTTAAAATGCAGATATATGTTATTATAATTGTTATTTTTATTTCTAAGTCTATTAGGATTCTCAAGAGCAATAATTTCTAGATGTGCTCTTTATTATATGATATTATGCTCTTCCCTTTCTCATATTTCAGAGCAAATGATCAATGCCTATATTTACGGGTTTTTTTTTCCTTGCTGTTTCTAGGCTAACAATGTCTTTACGTATAATCTTTTCCCTAAAGAAGAAAACATATTTCTACTAATATGCCTTACCATTCAGAACTTGGAACATTGATCCATTTGACCTTTCAGAGACAACTATTTTTAAAATGCCGTGTGATGTACAAAGTTTATGTGTAGACTCCTTTAAAAGGACTCTTATTAGGGTTTGAGGGGAAAGGCCCTGCTGTGCTTACATATGACCTAATTCATTACTTCCTAACAACCCCATCCAGCATAGAATTAAATTCTCTTTTCATATCCTCCAGTTTTCTTTCCTTCCCTGAACACTCTAGTCTCACCCCACACCCTACACATAAACAAATATATGAGGCATGAGAGACTTCAGTATCTTAGGCCAAGAAACATTAGTCAAAAGCAAAAACTACCCCTCCCAAAAAAAATAGGCCAGCCTTTGACACCATCTTCAAAGTTGTAGACTTCTGTTAACTTGGTGAAAATAAATCATTTTTTTCTATCCCAGTACTCCAGACAGCTATGACAGGCTCCCACAAGTAACTGAATCTTACAACAGTAAGTCTCCAGTGGGCAGTCTCATGACTCTGGAGGAGGGCAACAAAGGCTCTCCTAAAAGTAAAGGGAATATACTGATGTCTAACCCTTCTTCAGCTGCCACCTCCTTTCTTTGAGCACTTCATATGTACACACTACTGAGAATCTTTACGCTTCCCACTGACTTGTACAGTTCTTCCTTCAGGTCCTATTCTCTCAAGCAACAAATGAAGAAATAATTTTTCAGGTTCAAGATTACGTCTTCCAATCACATCTGCACTATTTTCTAGCTTTGAGACCTCATTCCAGCCTCCTAACAGATTCAAATCTCCATTTTCTCTTCGGTAAGTGGAAATAATGGAAATTTCTACACCTTGTAAGAATCCAGTGAAACTATATAAAGTTATATAAATGGGAAAGGTAATAAGATTATTAATCTCCTAAAGTTATTCAAATGTAAACTTAAGAAACAAGGAGGAGAACACTCAAGTACCACACCCTTCACATGACCTATGCAACTCAGAAGCATAAAGGACTATGGAAAACAGCAAAACAGCTCTGTTCAGATAAGGGAATTAGTCATGGCCAGGTCTACTATCTATCCATGCTTACCTGTCTCAGAAAGTAACTTTGTAGCTTCCAGTACCTTCTCAGTGTACACCCCAGCCTCATAGTTCTCCATCTCTGCATTGATGATGTGTATGACCCGAGCAGCCCGGCCCCGAATGGCCCCTGCCGTCCTGTCCAGAGTATCCACATCCCCTTCTTGGAGGGCTATCACACATTTGTTTACATCCTCCAAGATGTGATTTTCTGTGGAGAGAACACATACACATTTATATGACTTTACATGACTCAGAACTTAGTAACCAATCAAAAATTGATTCAACAGCTATTATGAGCCCTCACTTTGAAATGCACTGAAGTGGCATTTAAAGGACACAGTTTAAAATTACAGTGGTAGATACAAAACCTGAGCGCCAGCCATAAGGCTTGTGTCATCACACAGACCTCTGGGTGCTAATTCTAGAGAATCTGACTTAATAGCTCTGAGGTATGGCCTTGAAAAATTGAGTTTCTCTGAAACTCCCAGGTGATGTTAATGCTGCTGGCTTGTAGACCACACTGAGAACCACTGATGTATGAAAAATCTCTTTAGTTGTTTTAAAGATTGATATTTATTTTCCAAGAGAATCTTCTAAGAGTTGTCACACTGGATGTGGTGGTGCTTGCCTGTAATCCCAGCACTTGGGAGGCTAAGGTAGGAGAATCATGAGATTGAGGCCAATCTGGGCCACTTGGCAAGTTCCAGTTAGTTTGGGCTATACAGCAAGACCCTGTCTCAAAAACATAAGAGTTGTTGTGGAAGCCAACACAAAGTCAGTATGACCTGGTAGAAATGTTTCTAAATATGAACAGAGTAGAAATTTTGAATGCATGATTGTTTGGTCATGTTTTTATTAAGAAAACATTTAAGGGACAGTATAGAACAAACAAATGTCATCCAGTCAGTCCTAAAGTCATGTCATCTAGAAGGTATATGCATGGGAAAGTTGATTAGATGAAGAAGATCACAGAGTTCCCTAAGTTAAAATACAATCCAGTCTGTGGCTGGTATCATCAGAGTACAGTCAAACCAAGCATCACTCTTCAGTCATTGCCCAAATTAAAAAACAAGCAGGGAGAAGGGGAGGCTTCATCCTCTACTAGCATGGAGAAAACATGTGATTACACAATTTAGTATGTAGACAATATTTAATTTCTCGTGTCCAATGTGAGATGTAAATTGCATCCATTGAACATTTTTTGCTATGCAGTAATTCTTATTTTTTTATTAGCATACATTAACAGTAAAAAAGGGGGAGTTTCATTGTGATATTTCCATAGATGCACACAGCATAGTTTGAACAAGTTCACCCCCTCTATTATATTCTCTTAACCCCCTTTTTCCTTTGAACATTCTGTAAAAGCACAATTCTAAGGAAATGTCCAAAGTTTACTGCTATATGGAAGGAACTATAAGCTGAAAACACATACATACAATAATGCACTGAATGTTTATGTCCCTCCAAAATTAACATATTGAAATACTATCTAGGCATAAATTTAAACATTTCATTATTCTACGGCATAAATTTAAACATTTCATTATTCTTATATTCTGATTTATATTTAAAATTAAAGTAATGGAAAATACATAAATCATATACTTGCAATGGTGTAAGTGAGAACATCACATTGTTTAAGGTCTGGTAATAAGAAATAAAGACTTTTGAAGGGGTTAGGTTTTGAGGGCAGAGCACACATGATTGGGATTAGTGACCTTATAAGAGAGACCCTAGAGAGATCCTTCACCCTTCCACCATGTGAGATAGCTATCTATGAGGAAATAAGCCTTCAAAAAATACCTGGAGGCTTTCCAACCTCCAGAACAATAAAAAATACATTTCCATTGTTTATATAGCAACCTACTTTATGTTATTTTGTTATAGCAGTCTGAGCAGACTAAGCCACAAACACAGGAAAACTCATATGCTTTTAACAAGTAGAACACAATTACAAATAGTCTTAAGTACCTTGCTAACATTTTTAAATTATAATGACCAAATTCAATGAATAGTTAGAGATTTAAAATAAATTAACTATTTAAGAATTTTCTAGGAATAGTTCTGATTTTAAAGATCATAAAGAAAGAGAGTTGAAAGGATATCCAATAAATCCTAGATTATAGTAGTGTTATCTCCTACTTCCATTAAACAAAGCACTCAGAGGAAGTGTTTGTTCCTTTGGGATACTGGGTAGAAAACTGCAAAGTAGAACTTGCTATTCACAAAACAATATCTATTTTGATCTCATACAATATGAGCAAGTTAAGCTGACTTACACAGCATTTTACAACTTTCCTTAGGCTAGAGGTCCCCCTTTATTTGAAAAATGAGTCACAACTATCTCATGATAGTTATACTAAAGGATGGCTTGCATTAAAAGCTACTGATTCAGAATGTTTTAAATCATATTTGTGTTTTGTTAATCTAAGTACCAACAATGTGTTTGAAAAAGAGCTATACCTATTAATGTGGACATGAAATTTTTTCTGGTCAAAAGGCTCTACTTGGTGTATCTATAAATTCTTGGACCCCTGGTCAACTCTCTGCATCCTCAGGTCTGGGGCATCTTGTGCTGTAAAGCACACTGGCCTAGTATGACAGAATTCACACATGATTCATATTTGCATTCCTGCTAGTATTGTACATACAACAGGTAATGCATTCATTAAAAGAAATCCATGAATGCATTAATTAAAAGAAGAAATCTATTACATATTTTATCCTAAGGTATTTTGAAGAGTATTAATTCCTGAACTAAGAAGATAAAGGAATGCTCTTCCAAGTAGAAAAAATGAAGGTGAAAGTAGTAATAAAAGGCAGATGTATTCTGTAGATTACCTTGCTAGGAAAAACTGTCAAACACCTTGGGTAGTACACTCTAATATCAAATGTGGTAATATAAACATGTCTTCAACATTTAACTGCAACATATTTTGCAATAAACATCCTTGAATTTTTGCACCCTTACTGCTTTAGAAAAGATGTAATTTTGTTATTGAAAAGCAGAATCAATGATGACCGAACTACTTGATTGTTGTTATAAACCACAAAACTTTGATTCCAAAACTCAAAATCAAAGTCACTGTGTAAATTTAGAAAAAATAAACTCAAGATTCTAGTGTTTTCAAAAACAGGAAAAGGCAAGCAAAATAAAAACCTTGGCCATTTTGGGATCAAGCCATTGGTTTTTATAGATCTTAGATTTCTACGATTTTTGCAAGCCAAACCCAAGAATTAAACTGCCACATGGTTAATGTCAAGGTGTTTATTTTAAAAACACTATTAAAAATTGTAGTTTTTTGCCCAGTGGGAAAGGTTTAAATGTTCTGAAGCAGCCATTTCACATTTTTATGATCCTAGGCCACAACTAAAAATTGGTTTTGCTCCTGAAACATTAATAGCTAGCATCATGCTCCCCAAACTTATTGCATTTCATAACAAATTAAACAGTCAGATATACTAGTTCAGTTAACATGAAAAAAAAACTATAGTATTTTAAAACAAAGATTTTTTATCTTGTTTTTTAAATAGTTTTCTGCAACAATAGATATTCCCCTAAGAAGAAACTGATATGTGATATGTCATTAATGGCATTTCAAAATATCTTCTGGGCCAAACTTACAATTTACTGATGCAAATGTTTGGCCACAGACCAGAGAGGAGATGAGAAGTATTTCCCCAACTACTGGGCTGTGTCCACAGCCTACTAGCAGGAAAGAGTGGGATGTGTCATTATTTGTCAAGCCCCATCTGTGGAAAGGTGCCCACTGCCTGATTGTCAACTTCCAAAGGCATGCTCCTGCAAGCCCTGCCAACCTGGCTCCCTGACAGTGCCTGTTCATTTTCCTGTTGTGGCATGCTGCGGCATTTGTACCACTAGGGTTGGCCAGCACAGTGTTATCAGCATGAGCCAAAGCCTTTTCTTGTTGCTAGTAATAATGAGATGCACAACAGGAATGTCAGGGAGAAAGGTGCAAAGAGGCAGGGCTGGAGGGGAGAGGAAGAGAAGAAAATGAGGGAAAGCTTTGCACTATTACAAAAATGTGAGGTAAGACTACTTTGCCTTGCTTCTCCCCACCTTCAGAAAATTTTCTATGTGCATTTGAAAAAAAGGGAAAATTGGAAAACTTTGGAGTTCTAAAATGATTATTTCTCTCTGGAAAAAAAGAGCAATGAATGACCATTTGCTACTTCTTTGTAGATACAGGACAACTGAGAGGAAAATTTCCAGGGGCTGCCAGGATGGCTGTGTGAGATCTGAGGCGGGGTGGAGGGGAGGAGGCTTCCTGCCTCTTATTAGGTACACTATAGTCATCCTGGCACAAACTACTAGAAAGAAGCTTAGTATTTGTAGCTACCTTCTTTTTCCAGCACCCAAATCCTCAACATCGCTTTCTAAACAATTTCTAAACACCTTATGAGAGATGGATTGGGGTGGTATCTTTTACAATGTGAGCACTCAGCTATCAGCAAAGTGCCAATTCCAGGAATGGTAACATTCTGAGTTGTTGTTTTTTTTTATCAGCCAACCCCTACATAGGCGGATATTTATATGAATAGCTGCTTTGACAAGTCATCAAAAATCAAGCACCTTAGGAATGAAAAACAAGACAGGTTTCTGAAAAAGATTAGAGATTGGAATGAGGATACCAGAGGTGGGAGAATGGAGCTAAAATGAAAGCAGAAAAGTAGAAAGCACCAAGGGAAGGAAATTTCTCTTTTCTCTTTACTTATTGAGAACAACATAGTTTCTGAAAGGAGGGGCATGTGGATTTTTACACCATCTCTGCCAAGTTGCCTACCCTCGCTCTTAGTTTTCTCAAAGGAAGACTTAGAATACTGATACCTATTTTATAGAATTTTGTGAAAATTACAGTAAACAACAGAAAGTCAGGCAAATTATAGACACTGAGCAAGCATGTGTTAGCTCATTTTTTCCATCTGCCTTGTCTTGCCCTCCATCATTGAAAATTTAGCTTTTCAATTATCTATCAGATCTATAGATTTGCCTACACAGCCCTTAGACAAGCTTTAAATGCAGGCTTCCAGTGTGAACTTATAGTCTGTTTCTTCACGAAAAGAAAGGCTGCAACTAGGAAAAATATTACAGCTTCCCTGCAGAAATCACTTCCACATAGATGCAGTCAGAGGTCCTATTTGCCTGGCTCCTTCCAGCAGTGATGCCATGCCTCCTTCTCAGGCCTCACTCAACCAAAAACAAGTCAAATCAGGGCTAAATGCTGAGTGAGCTGTTAGGTGAGTTCCACACATCTATGGGTAGAATAAACAACTGGCCAATTTGAATTTTCAAGTTTCTCTTAATTCCTTTAATGCCTCATAAAAGAGGCTGATGTTTCCAGTGATCTCCTCTCACATAGATATCCTTCCAGGTGAACTGGGCCAAATCTGTTTGGTCAAAGCTGCTTGGGAAAAGGTCCATTTGCTGGCTTATAGCCCAATCTTGAAATGGTATTGATGAATTCCATTAAAAGTCAAATTGACTTCACAGTTATTCACATCTATTAGCATCCTCCAGTCTGGCCATAATTACAAAGAAAGTTACAATTACACTGATGATGACAACATCTATTTTCTTCCATTCTCTTCTTTACACAACTTCGTAGATGTGCTCAGAGCAGCAATAGCTCCCATGTGTATTCTATTAGGTTAATTTTGTGCCTGAAATTTCTATTTGACTTGTCATTAACCTTCACTTAGAAAAATGACCCACTTAACGTAAGCAAATTGGAATAACTGATTACCAATTTTTAAGACCTAAACCATGTAGATTAACCAATCCCTTACCATCATATACCACAATCACATGGGTGATTCAGATTTATCAAGAGATCATCCTGATAGAAAAACTAAAAGGGAAACAAAATCTAAAGCAAAGTTTAAAAAGGAATCCAAATTGGGTATGGTTGAACACAACTGTAATCCCAGCACATAGGAGGCAGAGGCATAAGGATCACAAGTTGAAGCCAGCCTAGGATACACAGCAATTTGAAGGCTAGTCTAAGCAATATAGCAGACCATGTCTCAAAAATTCCAAGGAATGGGGATGTAACTCAGTGGTAGAGCATTTTCCAAGCATGTGCAAGGCCCTGGGTTTGATCCCTAACACTGCAAAATAATAATAGTAGTAGTAGTAGTAGTAGTAGTAGCAGTAGTAGTAGTAATAAAAATAAAATGGAAAGTAAGCCTCCTTAAATAATATGTTCAGGTTTTAATATCATCATCAGAATGCTGTGCTGTTCCTCTGATGTCTTGACTCAGAATCTTGAAGTAGGAATTTTTAAGAGAGTGTTATAATCACATTTACTGAGCTGGTCAAATGCTCAAAGGGTCAAGGAGAGCACTTGAATCATACACCCATGATATTTGTGATATATTTCTTATCTCATCCTGAAATAAGAAGGCATCCTGATGCCTTGTAAGGGGCACATGTGATGATTACCTGAGACAGAGAGAAAATCATCCACTGAGGTGATGTCATCCACAGCCTCGGTCAGCACTCGGACCTGCTTCTCCCACTGGTCTTTAAAGACATCCATGTTATCCTGAGCAACTTTGCTCTGTGGCCGAGCAGCCAGTGTGAGAGCAGCATTGATGACCTATTTGTTAGAAACAATTCAGGGACATGATGACCTCACTCTTAAAATGGAAATAAACAGGTCAAAGATTACATTGAAACCTTGATAAGTGAGTTGTCAGTGTTCAGGACAATTAAAAACGCAAAAGACAAAGTAGGTTATCAACTACCTTGTTTTTGTTTTGCTTCTTCTTTTTCAGATATACTAATTAGCCTCAGGCTTCTAAAAGTATTTGCTGGACCAGTCCTATTTACTTAGCACATATGTGGGAGAAATGTAACTCTTGTTTTCTGCATATGCAAGCTTATAATTTACTTGTTGAGATAAAGTAAATAGACACAGAGCATTTAAACTGCAACCCAAAACAAACAGAATAAAGTAAATATGAGTAGAAAGGATGATAATTTTCACAGTAATTTTGAATACACTGTAGTTAGAATTTCTTTTTGAGAAAGGTAAAACTTGAAATAGCTCATGACAAGTATCATTTTCCAGATAGAATAAACAGGACAAGGAAATAAGAACTGCAAGTGTTTAACTATAGAGGTTTCTTAATAATGGGTCACCAATGGGGTTTTAAAACAAAGTGAAGGAGGCTTACCTGGGGACACAAGCTATCAATCTGGGTGGCTGCCATCCGGACTAATTTTACCCCTTCCTCGTTGTTGGAGATGGAACAGGCCAAATTGGCAACCTGTATTGAAGAGGACTCAAGTGAAAATCATGTTGGGGGAAGGGAACATATACTGCTGCATGGTCTTGCTTCTCTTTAAAACATCACTACAAGGAGATTCACCAATACAAGGGTACTCACTCTTCTGTGTTAAACCCAAATATTATATATTTATATATTAAATAGTTGTATGCCATTTATTAGCAAATGCCATAAGAACCATTTGCAAATAATAAGATTCTCAAACACACACAATAACACATTTTAACTGAGTTTCTTTGAACTGTTACCCACTATGGACTACCCTGATCTGCCTATACTCTCTAGTGAGCCCCCAGGACTCATCCTGGAGTGTGAAGCACCGTGATCTTGGCCACATCAGTACTTAACTTTCACCAGTGAAAGAAAAGCTACAGGCAATGCTTTGGATTTAAAAGAGACTCATTGTAAGCTGAAAATTAAAAGAGCTCTGCCAGCAGGATTCCAGATCTGCCTGAAGATGCTAGTCTATGGTAGCCAACTCCAATTTCTTCAGGGACAGATGAAAGCGATATGTAGGAAAGGCTAGCATGATTCAATTGGTAGTGTTAGAGTATATAGCAAATTAGATCATGCAAGTCTACTGTAAAGACATAAATATTTGATTTTTTCAAAAACACTATTTGAGTCAAAACAACTGAGCTGAATTCAAGTTCCCTGCCCAACAAGTACAATTTATGTTATTTCTTCTCATCAGGCAGAAAGAATTGGTAATACCTGGTCAGATTGACTGGCCAAAGTCAACAACTCATAAAGCTACCATCACAACACTGCTCAGTCTCATCAGGCTGATGTCAAGAAGACAGGAGACTGAGAATTAGAAAGGTCAAAGGAGAAGAGAAGGACAGCATGGGTTGGGGGGCAGTAAGGCAAACAGAACAAGTGATTAGCAGAGAAAGAATCCCCTGGAGTCTCTGGGTCACATGCCCTTTTGTACCATGATCACCTCTAGTCTCTAAAACCAGGCTGCTTTCCAGAGAGATGCCTTATTACCCTGAGAGATTCAAGTGCACTACATGTGCACACTTCCCGATGCAAAATAAACCTTAGGTGGATGATGTAGAGAAGTGGGCAGAGCACCAGGATAGAAATCAGGAGGCTCAACCTTTAACCATCTATGTGATCATTTCATACGCAGAGGGTACAGTTTTCTTATCAGTGACATGAGATAGGTAGATGGTGATGGTAGAATATTTTTATAGATGACTCCAATAAATCCTTAAGTGTAAGAATAATTTTTTGAAGCTTTTAAGAATGATGAAGGATAGATTATGTAGCTACTAGAAGAAATCACAGCTTAAATGCATTACAAGCATTATCATGAACTTTCTTAAAATCTGTCGTTTACCTTTGATTCTTCAGATTAGTTTCACTATTATACTTAGTTTTCAAAATAAGTCTGATAAAAGACAAAAATGCCTTGTACTCATTTACAAGAAAGCATATTAACTGCCCACAGGCATAATATTTAGAAACCAAATGTAGGCCTCCTAACTTCAATTTCCTTTTTCCATATCATATTGTCTCTGTTTTGATTAATCTTTATCATATTAAATTCTGTAATTCATTTTACATTCCAAGTGCATGATTCCGTACATGACACAGAATAGGTAGTCCCTCCTGTGTTTATAGAATAAATTAAAGAATAACTTTTAAGTTGAGTGGAATTTATTATATGTGGTAATCCGGAATACATGGATGAAAGGTTCTCAAAGCTGAATTACAAATTAGTTGGCTAGACAAATTTTCACATTAGCTTCTAGCAGATGTTTGCCAACTCTGTGGTATTAATAATAATTCCTATGTTCTTGTCATTGGTATGAGTCCAGAATGTGGTGTCCCCTGTCCATGGTGGCATGAGAACATTCAGGATAGTATGGACAATTTTCCAGAAAGGTATATACACTTAATGTCTTCTTTTTTTTTGGAGGGGCACTGGGGTTTGAGCTCAAGCCTCACACTTACTAGATAGGTGCTCTACCTCTTGAGCCATTCCACCAGCCCTGTGATCTGCCTTTTAATCTTCAACTGAATTCTTACTACGTCTCCTTTGAACACCCTTTCATTCTATGAAATGATGATTTTGGATAATGGCTTTGTTTGCTCTTTACCATCCTTCCTTGGCATATGAGAAAGACTTGAGATCACACTTTTGAAAGTAGTAGACAATCGCTAATGAGCGTGGCTGTCTTAAAAGGACAAAATGCTGTCTCTGAAACATTCTTGCCAAAAAGAAAACAAAACCTAAAAGTGATTACTAGGACCAACTCAAAATTTATAGGAAACAAAGAAACATGTAGAATAAAACCATGTAGCTACAATCAAGAAAATCCTAATGGTGAGAAACTGATGACAAAAAAGTCATATACTTATTTGTATCTTGAATAGAACAAATAATCTGCAGACATATAAATATTAGTAAATGTGTAAGAGCATTGCACATCATCAAGGAAATTTAAATATGGTTATATATTTGACATTATGGAGTTATTTAATTTTTTAAAGTGTACCAATGGTTTATTGGTTACTTTAAACAAAAAAAGTCTATACCTTTTTAGCAATATGTAATTGAAATGTTAATGAATGAAATGATATGATCTTTGGCATTTATTTCACAATTATCAGGGGTTGGGATAATTGGAGGAGATTAGCCCATTACTTCAGAATCATTGAAGCTGTGTGAAAATATGTGATGGTTCATTATACATTCTCTACTTTGGGATATGCTTCAATTGTTCTATAATAAAAAGATTTTTTAAAAGTAGCAAGTACAACCTATTATATCACTAGCTCTGTTAAACATTTTTGTACCTGTTACCAGTCTCAAGGAGGTACAGTTATAAATCAGAGAGAAGCCTGAGTATGGGTTGAGGTTGAAACTTGCAGATGATGGAGATGTGCCAGACTGAGCATAGAAGAGAAGCACCATAACTGAAGTAAGTCACAGAGGCAGCTCTCTAGACCACAGAGCTTCTCACTCATGGTGGCTATAGGTCATTTGATAGAAACTGAATTTTGGGGACTTAGGACTGAGAAGAACTAGACTCTTGCACAAAGGAAATGCTAACCAACAAAATCTACATAGTGATAACAAAGTTTGTTATCTTTTGAACTGTTTTCTCATCCTTTGTTTAAAAAAAAAAAAACTCTTTTGTGGCTTAGGTGTAATGTATGGACCTCATCACCCAACAGGATCTCAGCAGGGGGAGCTGGGGTAGCAGTGCTAGCAACACTTGGCAAAACGAAGCAGCTGGCAACTCCCCATAGTCCTCCAATTATTTATTCTCTTTAATTTTACTGATCCACAAATCTTATAGTCTGGCAGCCTCCACTCTGCAATGTACTCCTGCTCTTCAATTCCACTTAAAATCAGAATTTCATTTACCTTGCATTATATTCTGAAAACATTTTCAATATGATGCTAAGGATTTCAGTATCTCTGAAGGCAGGCTTGCATTTTTTAAATTGGTCAGGGATTCCATCCCAATCCCTACCTTCTTTATTTTGCCTTGGCTTACCTTTCTTTGCTTCTCACTAAAGCCACTGCCATTATGGTGACTCTGAACATAGGTTTATGTATTTTGATTTCTACAGTTCTGTCAGTAAATGACACTTCATTCTTGGTAGCAACTCCAATCAATAATATAGCTTAAAATACCAATAGTTCAAGTTGATTCAAGAATATTCTACACAATTTAAATGATCTGTTCTTTAATAACAGTTATGATGTCATAATATCAGAAACTCTAGTAAAATAAAATATTCTATTTTCAATATTTTCTTTTCTGTGGGCAACTTTCATTGTTAAAAGGGGTACAGAGGAAGGAAATAGTGGACAAGAATCATTAGATGTTTGAAAAAATTAATAGAAGTAAAAATAAAGCTGGCAATAGACCATTAATAAATTGTAACCCAAAAGACATTGAGCAATGTGATTAAATCTGATAAAATTTTTAAACCTGCTGGAGTCAACCAAGTGGGTAGCCTGGTAGGGCATTCATGCCCAGTAGCTCTGGTCCTTGCTTTCTCCATTCTTGAATTATGTACAGCTTAACTGAGGCAATATGAGTTAGCCACCTTGCTGGAAGCTTAGGAAACAATAAAGTGTATCATTAGGTTTTAAATATGGGGCTATTTAAGGTGATTTGAGATTTCTGAAAGTGGAATAGGCCACAAGGATAGGTAGCAGAGCTCCTTGGTGAATGAATTGTACTAAATCCCCATCAGTCCAATACGAAAGGAAGGAAAGGAACTTTTGAAAGCATAATAGATTTGGGGAGGTAAAGGCTGAAAAGACTGGGCCAGTTTTATGTCTCTGATTTAGTGCCTTAAAAATGAATAATCCTGGGAAAAGAAAGAAGCTGAGAAGCCACCACTAACCTATGTGCTGCTGACTGTAAGAATTTTGAGAGTTTAGAAAAATAAGTGATCAGTACTGCTGTATGGAAATTGTGAACCATATCATACAGAAATCAGATATCTACCTTATTTTTTTTTTCTAATTTCCTGAGACTTTCTGGCTACTCAGTGATCATGATTTTTTTTTTTTTTCTTCTTTTCCCTTCTTAGGGCACATTGTGCTAATAGGTGAAGCAAATAATAATATCATTAGCAGGATTAGACAAAAAATAAACCAGCAAGGAGAGCTGATTCTTCTAAGAAAGTAACTTGCTCCCTGAACAGAATCTGTATTATAATTGGCCTGCATTCCCTAACTCTTTAACTATCACCTTAGCTGACCAAAAACAATTGCGATATTCCTGAGATACTGATTGGAAGAGTGAAATTGATAAAAATCAGAAACATACGATGCCCTTATAAAAAATATATTGTGTCCATTTAAAATGCAAAATTGTGGGTGGTGGAGGTACTGAATATTGAACCCAGGGCCTCACACGTGATAAGCATATGCTCTACCACTGAGCTATACTCTCTCAGACTATGTAGGGTGTTTTTAAATCTCAAAATATACCATAAGCTCA